CTTTGATGATTCTTCATCCTTGAACTTCACTGAAGCTAAGAGAAGAAAAACCAGGCCTTGAACTTCATTGAAAATTCTTGAGCAAAACTCAATTCCAGTTAAAGACTAATGATGCAATCATTATCAGAGTGATGAGAGCTACATTATAGCAACATGTTTGGAGAGAATTGATGGAGGAATCTACCTGTTAAAGTTCAAATTCAGAGCTCTGAAACTTGACTCGGCTAGCACGATTTAAGGCACCTCAAGTCTTAGTTCTTCTTCTGTTAGCTTCAGTGAAGTTCAAGGATGAAGAATCAACAAAGAAATTGGATCGAAAGATGCTTTAGAATTAAATTTGAAGTTACAAAATTGAGAGGTATAAAGGAAGTTCAACAGGGGTTCTTTGGGTCTCTAAAGCTTGTCAAATGAGTGGGATATAATCCTTTATTTATAGGGAAGTGAATGACAATGAGAAACGATAGGAATTATGTACTAATCATGCAAACCAAGCCAATTGTGATCATGCCAAATGTGTGACTTGAAATGCCTTAAAACGACCTCATATCAAGTGCAATTCTTGTCAAAACGCATATGGACAATTAGTTAAACATGTTTAGCAACTAAACCTTGAGTAATTTTACATGTAATCCAAGTTTACTCATGGTAAAAAATTATGACTTTAAGCAAAAATAGATTCCATGGAGCCAACTTCAACAATGCATAGCTCACTACTCAGGGACCTTTATGGAATGATTCTTGAAGCATTCGAAATACAAGGTTACAATATTTAAAATGTGCCAAGAAAGACAACATTTGGATGCTTGAGAAAAAAGTTATGTCCAATTGAATTTGTGAAAAACACACAGATGTTTTGTACTTAGAAAAATTCTAGGTGTTGAACTTCAAAATGACCTATAATATTCTTCAAAATTAAATGACTTTATACTCAAAATTTGATCTTTATTTATAAATATGACATGAAGTAGACCTCTTGAATTGAAGTGTGGAATTCTGATCACTCAAAAATCATAAAAATTGAAAGAGCTATGGTCTTTGGAAGATGATGAACAAATTTGGGGAAAATCACAAACGACCTATAATCTTTTCAATTCTTCAACCACTTTCCAAGCATTTTCAAGTCTTGCACATAAAAACAAAGTTTTAGTAGACATCCAAATTATTATTGTGAAAAAATAATGGGCTCAAGGAGATAAAAATTGGCCAAGTTATGATCATTTGAAGTCAAACTCTAAAATCCAAAGGCCTTTCAAGGAGACTTATAATCTTTCTCAATCATTAGTGATCTTCCATTCAAAATTAGCCTTAGATATCTGAAGAGAGATTATTAAGGACCCATTAAGGAGAATCATGGATTTGGAACCAATAAAAAATCTCAAACAGTAAGCAAGACATGGTCCTTAGAAGTCAACAAACCCTAGCTCAGAGAGTGTCAAAATGACTTGAAACCCCTTTTAACTTTTGATGATTTTTCTTGCACAATTGGATCTTGTCATGTGAAGAGAGGTGGTTTTTGATGATTTTAATAATCCATAGAAAAAATAACCGACTCAAAATGTTGAAAATTGAGAGATTTATGCACTTGTGATCACTGAATCTAGTATTTGTTCAATTAGGTCAAACTTGTTGAGTCAACCTTAGATCTATTTTAACTTTCTTGGCAAAACAAAGCATAATTAATCATAAGAGGCCTTGAAATAATGTTGTCTTAAAGTACACTAAAAGATGGAGCTTGAATCTCAATGAAGCTTGTTGAAGAAGGCATAGAAATAGATACATGAACCTATGAATCTTCTTGATGAATTCCACCACCAACTTTGTGGAGATCTTGACTTAAATAAAGTGAGAGAGCTCCTTGAACCACAAATCTTTTATTTCATAGACACGAACTTGAAGATTGAGCTCTTGCAATCCATTAGAGAACCATTTGATTGAGAATCACCCCTCAAACCCTAGATTAGATGGTGAGATGAATGCAATTGTGATCACCTATAATATGAACATTCAAAAGAACATATATACACATATTGATGTTAGTTAAAAGAATACATGTACAAGATACACAATCCAATGTTCTTGGTAATCCCTTAAGAGAAAACTTAAAGATAGGATAAAGAGAGAAACAACCCTAATGTGTGTGTCTTGATGCATTGGGTCATGAGATGATGAGAAATCTTAGAGGGAAAATTGGGGTATAACACACACAATGTAGGAACCTTTTTTATGCCAATCTTGTTCCAATGGATAAATAATGCTGCAAGCTTTCCAATATGCTTAGAAAGTATTAATATCGCTACGGTTGGTAGTGTTAACCATTGTGAAATAGCTTACCCATATATAGGCGAAATAACTCCCACTTATAGATAATAGTGTTGTTTCCTTCACAAGGAAACCCTAGCACCCATTTATTCCTTCTTCTTCGCCATTAGTCGTGAATCTTGTGCTTCATACATTAAGGTATGCTTCTTATTCTATCTTCTTGTTAGATAGTTCCCCATTATCTCGTTTGTTGCATGTTGTTTTTGTTGATTGTACTCCCTTTTTTCAGACCCGTCTTCATTACCTTATCAAAGGAAACTTCATCTATCTTTTAATTTGTTACAGTTCCACGATTTCATGTATATCCATTGATGATGTAAGTTGTTAGATGATTTTCATACTTTGTTGACAAATAAGTTTGATATTACACATGTTTATAACTTTCATGGTTATTGTAGGTCTCAACAAGAACAAAACATTTTAGTTATTGAAGAAACAACAAAGGCAACAAACTTCATCTAGTTTGAGAACTTATGAGAAGAAATATAAGAATTATGAAGTTGTTGTTTAAACTTTTTACTCCTTATATTTCTTTTTAATAACTTCACAAACTAGATGAATTTCCATTATTAGTTTCAATAAAAGGTACGTCCTGAATGATATAGTATGATGTTGTTTTGTTGATAAATGTTTTTGTATGTTGTTGTTGTAGTTGAATTTATTATATTCTATGTAGAATGTTTGTTTCAATAACCATAACTTAAATTACATTCATTTACATTGACATAGATACTTATAATCTGAAAATTAAGTTGTATTTGAAAACCGATTTATATAAATCAATGTTTTTCGAATTACATTTGTTTCATCATTCATCGCAAGCTCTTTAACATATAGAACATGGTATAATAATTTGGCTCCTTCATTAGATTGATATCTTCTCATATAGTTTAATTTCAATAACCACAATTTATTGGCTAAGTCTACCTCCTCATCGTCACTAATCATCGTAATTGTTATGAATATTAGTCATCAAAACAATCACGATGATAAGTGACGATGATGAAGTTGACTTATTCAATAAATTGTTGTTATTGAAATTAAACTAGATGAGAAGATAACGATGTAATGAAGGAGCCAGATCATAATACCATGTTCTATATGTTAAAGAGCTTGCGATGAATGATGAAACAAATGTAATTCGAAAATAATGGTTTGTTTAAGTTGGGTTTCAAGAAAAGTTTAATTTCCATATTATATACATCTTCATCAATTTGAATGCTTGTATTTCTTTAGTGAGGTGTATGAAAAAACAAACAATCTATATATTATATAATAAAATCTGGTGACTTTCAACAATGGTTACTTACACTAACCGTAATCAAATTTAATTTATATGTTTATATCACAACGGTTGTCACTCATAAGTGTTGTGATTAGTAGCGCGTGTCCTGCTTTTCTATGACGGTTTCCAGACCGTGGTGGAAAATGACTACTTACAACCACACGCTACTTAACAACGATATGATCCGCGTGATGGTATCCCTATTTCAACCGTTGTGAAATGGATTTTCCGTAGTAATGTGGTGTAGGAAAATTGACTGAGCGTAAGAAGAAATCGTGTGTCGGAAAGTTTCGATAAAATTTGAACAAGTTTGGTGTCTGATATCACAATGACTATTATTATACATTGTTTATAGGAAATCGACTTACGAACATAGAAAACAACATTTTAATATTTTTCGTAATTTTCTGTTTGGATTAAACGTCCGTTACTACTTTTTTGTATTTAAACAATTTTGAGTGTGGCCGCAGAGTTAAAATTTATCATGAAAAATTTAATAGTTTACTCTTTCAGGTAGATTCCAGAGTTTTATCTGACAAATTTATCATTTGCAAACTTGTATTTTTGTTTTAGATTTAGTGCTTATTATTCCTTTATCATTTCGATTATGTCACAAATACAAATACAGGAATAACATGGTAGTAAAATGCATCTCGATCTTGGTCATGATATGCAAATTCTAATGAATTTGATAGGTAAATTTTTTAGTGACATTAAACATTAGACATATACTTATAAGGAAGAACACATAACAACAACTTAATATTTGCATAATATATTCAAAGAATATATCCCTTATTTAATTTACTTAGTTTTTTGTTTGCACTTTTTTTCTTTTCTCTTAGTTGAGGCAGGCTTGGTCTCCAACTTTTTTGTTTATCTTTTCTATTTATAGTGTGGAGTTTGATTTTTTTTTTTTAAATAAAATAATGAGCGTCTTAATTTATATAATTTAATGGATGTATGTGTGCAAATGTTTTCTGATGACAAGCAATTAATACCTACCAAATTTTGGCATTAATCCTATGTCGCAGTTGAATTATTTGCATGATTAATGTATGATTCTTCTCGTAATAAACAAACAAACTGCGAAACATATATAATAGATCAACAATTATTATAAGAAATATTCGGAATTGAAATAAATGAAACAAACAGGTATAGACGTAGGAAAGTGGCCTTACCATACACACTCATATAACGTTATGCTTTCATCAATTCTTGCTGATTATTTCAATGCCAATGGTCGGCCTTATTCTTTCTATACTCATATAATATTTAGTTACTTTTTATGCAAATAAATGTTTTTATAAACACATGCAACGTTCTTAGCTTTAAGACTCAGAGATTGAAGCATAAGTTTTGTGTGACATTCTCACACAATAAGGCACATAAAATGACATCATTTGCATGTAACTATGGTTCAGTCTTCTTCTTTGTTCTCTTTTCTCTTGCAATGCTTGACATGCACGTAGCTAATGAGGTTAAGGCTGTGCCAACATTGTTCATATTTGGTGACTCAACTTTTGATGTTGGAACCAATAATTTTATCAACACTACAGCAAAAGCCAATGTCCCTTTTTATGGGGTTGATTCTCCTTTTTCGGTTCCAACTGGAAGGTTCAGCAATGGCCTTAACACTGCTGACCAAATTGGTATAAACATTAATTTCACGCTGTACACATATTTTTTTTAACCTGAAAACGACGTAACAATAATCATTAGAAACTCACACACTTCTTAGGTTCTGGATTGGAACCAGAGACAATATTATACGTAAATTTATATGGATTTATTGATTTAATAATTCGTTTACTTTTTTTTCTATGGAAATTAGCGAAACAATTTGGTTATCAGAAGAGTCCACCGCCATTTTTGGCTTTGGATAAATTTCACTATAGTTCAAAGCTCAACATTCTGAGGGGTGCAAATTTTGCTTCTGCTGGATCTGGAATTCTTAGGCAAACAGGACACAAACAATGGGTGATTTTCCTATCTTTTATATCTAATAGCACATTTCATGCATTATTTTTGCTAGAAATTTTTGTACCTATATAGTCCCTACACTTCTAAAAAACTCGTGTCTGGTGTCTGATCCAGTATCTGCGCTAGACGCTGACACATGTAGTAGTTAACTAAACAATTACATTAAATGTGAATCTCCTATCTGCAGCAAGAAGTGGTTTTCCTTGAAAAGCAAGTTCAGCAATTTGCCGTGGTCCGTGAAAGTATAAACAGACTATTAGGTGAATCAAAAGCTTCTAAATTTGTTTCAAAGGCTGTGTTTCTCATTAGTACCGGAAGCAATGACCTCTTCGATTTCGCAAGTAACAAAAGTGACATTCATTTTGGCGTGGAAGAATATTTCTCTACTCTACAACTCAACTATTTCTATCAAATAAGGGTACATCACAATTCACATACTTTTTGTCACAAATTTTCATCATTCAACGTAAAAAAAACTCATGATTTTGACTATTCAACTATATGTGATCATTGCAGACACTATATGAATTAGGAGCTAGAAAGTTTGGTATCCTAAGTGTTCCACCTATAGGATGTTGTCCTGCAGTAACCTCTTCCAATGGAGGCAACTGTGTGCAGCCATTGAATGATTTTGCTATTGCATTCTACAAAGCAACTCAAGCTGTTTTGCAAAAATTGAGTTTTGAATTTGAAGATTTTGAGTACTCACTTGCAAACACTTTTGCAATGACCACCACCTTATTAAACACTCCATCTACCTTTGGTAAGCATAATATAGTATAATAATTCTATTAAATTTTGTTTTAATTAATCTTTTGTAACCGGAGTTTGTCTGACGATGAAGACTTGGGTTCTGAGAGTGTGCTCCTCTCAACAATTCCGCTGAGAGTGTTGGACACGGTGTGATTAGTTCTTTTAGATTATTCGATAGCATGTACAAAAAAAGAATTATTAATCTTTTGTTTAACATGTTATAGGGCTGAATGAAACAAAATCAGCATGTTGTGGAATTGGAAAGTTGAACGGAGAGGGTCCATGTGTGAAAGCCTATAATGCAAATCTTTGCCCTAATCGTGATGATTATTTGTTTTGGGATTGGTTTCATCCAACTGAAAAAGCTTCTGGGTTGGCAGCTCAGACTCTATTTGCAGGAGGGAAAGAGTTTGTGTTACCAAAAAATTTTAGTCAGCTAATTTGTTGATTTTAGATGATGTTTAAGATATGATTAATAATATCTAATTACCTAAAATAAACCAGGCATCTCTTGTTATGTATCTTGATGAGAGTAATTATTATACATAAAATGAAATGCAGATTGATGAGAAAAAATTGTCTCATATTTGTCTGGATGTAGTCACAATATAAGATTTATCATTGTACTCTTTTTATATATATTTTCAATTTTATTTTCTCCGAAAGAAAAATATGCCTTTTGTGATTTAATTTTTTATTAGATTGATATAAACGTATATATTTTGCAAATAATCAAATAAACAAAAGAAGGACATTAAAAGGTTTTTTCTTTTGAGCTATATATTGTATTTGCTAATCCCTTATAATATGATAGTTTTTGGTAAGTGAACAATGATTAAATACATTTTTTTAATCAACTTGCGATTTCATCATACAAACAATGAGAAAGACTTATATACACAAAACAAAATCGAATCGTAATAAAGATCATCCAAACTGAACTAAGTCGTTTTAATTTGTATAAAATCGAACTGAATTAAAATTATTGATTTGATATAAAGATTTGGAATTCTGAATTGTACAAAATTATTAAAAGATAATTTTTCTCAAACCAAACCATTTGTTAAAGAAGCAGACACTACAAAATAAGTTGTGTATTGTCACGTGACTCCCACGTCGCTAACACCAAAATCATGTCACAACTTTATTTTTGTCACCTGAAGAAACACGTCGCTGAAGAGCGCGTGGCAATGTTGTTGCGACGTGGGAAACATGTCACAACGTTGTCACGTGAAATTCACGCCGCAACAAACTTTATGGGGTCAAAGGCAGTCAGAGCAGAGCAGAGGTCAGAGCAAGTTTTATATTCACTTTTACGTTGTGTGTTGCGGCGTGTTTTTTATGTCACTAATTTGTGACGTGGAAAACATGTCGCAATTTTTTTTTAAAATTATTTTCTGTTTTAAATATAATAATTCTGATATAATAATTAATATTATTTTCTGTTTCATTAAATTTATAAATTAAATATTATAATTTATTTATTAAATTTAATATTATAAATCAAATTATCAAAAATAAAACTAAATATATTAAAATATATAAATTAATATACTTAATATAATAAAATTAATAAACTAAAATTTAAATTTAATATTTTTAAATATAAAATATGATTATAAATTTATATTAGTACACAAATAAAAAACTAAATAGAAAATAAAAATAAAACTGAGCAGAAGGATCATTCGAGTCGTCGGAAAAATCGTGAAGAAAGTCATCATTATTTTGGCCACCATTGTTGGGATTTCCACCAAATGCTTGCATAAATTGTCGCATTTGCTCCTCCATATCAGCCTGCCTCTTCGCCATTGCCTCCATTTCTCTATTATGTTCACCCCTCATTGCCTCAATTTGGGCCTTCAATGCCGCCTCCATTTGGGCCTTCAATGCGACCTCACGTTCTTCAGACTCGCGTCTAGCCAATTGTCTTACCATTTCTAACTGATCTGGTGTCAAATTTATTTGACGTGACCCTCCTTCACCGTCCGCAGCTCTCTGATACAGAGTTCTATCCCCACTTCTCAAGGTGCCCGTCAAATTTCCACCACCAAAAAAGCACCCGTTAGGCCCCTTTCCCATAACAACTTGACTCCAAATATAGAAATCCACATCTGGATGAACCGGTTTTCCCAGAGGAGGAGTATACTGAGGATTATGGGTCAGAAATTCTACAAGCAAGGCCTGATAATCCTTCTACACATACAATAAAAAAATCAAATTAAATATATAAGTAAAGTTAATGAAATTAAATTAAATAAAAATAAATAAAAAACATATAGCCACGTGATTGTAACGCCACAACTTATCAGTTGCCACTCAATTTTTACGCCACAACATCTCACTTGCCACGTGAAAATCACGTCACAAAATTGCTTAAAAAAATATATAAACATAAATTTACTTACTAGGACTTTTTTTATACGCTCGTCAATAAATTCCCCCGATTTCTTTGTCCGAGTTTCGGTAACCAGCTCAGTCATCAATGGTTGTCTCCCCAAACGCTTAGCATAAATAAAAAAATAACTTAAATTAATAATATATGTTATAAATCCAAATATGACTTTAAAAAGTGGTAATAATTACCACGCGTCGAGCATGATCAGCAGTACTAATACTTCCAACAGCATTAAGGCAACCCCCTTTTTCTGATGCCCTCATCTTCTTTGCAATTTCAGATTTAGCCTTAAATTCATCTGATTCCCAATACTTAAGAAGTTGTTCAAAAACTTCTTTGCCTATCCATTTGGGACAAACGCCCAAAAGTTTCCAATTCTCTCTAACACATCGTAGCATGTCAGAAAGTCGTCTTGAACTCCTGCCAAATTTTTTTTTTTTTACTTTGTTATGGTTCAGTGGATCCCAAACACAATTCGTCTGCAATGTTGTATGACATTAAAATAAATAGTTAGATAAATTATAACAATAATGAAAAGGTCATTTAAATAAAAATAACTTAAGAAATAAATTAATTATATCTGAAATTGCTTATATCATTCGTCTTTATCAGAAACTTCTCTAAAACTCTTCCAAATAATTCTGTTGAATTATATAATTTATAACCCTGGCAGCAGTCCGACTCGGCCCGAAACTAAAACAACAATAACTAAATTAGCATAATTAAGTATATAAAGTTATATTAAAAATAGAAACGTGTACTTATAAATAAAAATCAATAAATAAGAAACTTACGAGTTCCCTTCAGGCCAAATCCAAAATCTCCCATCAATGGTATGAATCTCACTCGGATCATCATCCCCTCGAAGATCTCTCCCATCTATCTAATCATCGTCCACACCAAGATCGTCATCATCCGACTCTGCATGATCATCGGATGCAGGTACATGTGTGGGATGTGGGGTGCGACCAGTCTGTGTGGGTCGTGAAGAGGTGGATCCTCTAGGCTGTTGGACGAATGGGGGCATCTGTGTAGGAAGTGGGGTGCTGGATCATCCAGGCTGTTGCATGAACGAGGGTATCTGTGTAGGAAGTGGGGTGCTGGATCCTCCAGGCTGCTGCACAAATGAGGGTATCTGTGTGGGAAATGGAAAACTGTGCTGGAAGGATGAGAGCACCTGTGTCTGCTAGAATGGTAAACCAGGTGGGACCTCAGATGGGATCTCATTAATATAGGTTCACTATTCTAAATCGTCATGCTTGTCATCCATATCATCCTCATCATCTGATGTGATATTGTCCTTGGATCCAGAATCTTCATGATCTGCATCCTCATCAACTTGATTCCCCTCAACCATTGTATCATACAAACTTGTAGTGTGTTCATCTGGAATCACATCATTAACTTCAACTTCATCAACTTGGTAAGCAACATCTTCCACTAGATCGTCAGTTTCAATATGACCCAATGATTTTGTTTTTATTACAACACAACACCGTCGTTTACGTGGCACAAATGAAGGATAAGGAACATAATAAACTTGCCGAACAATATTTGACATTATGAAAGGGTCGTACTCTTTGTACCTCCGATCCATTTTAATCCCAACAGTACCATATGTCTTATCTATTTTTGTGCCTCTAGTTGGATCATACCATTCACAATAAAACAAGACAACTTTATTTTCCGAGTCCAAGTAATTGTATACTAACTCGTAGATATGTTTAACAAAACTATAGAAGTCATCTTCACCACCATTTGTAACTCCTTTCACAAATACGCCACTATTTATGGTCTTTTTCCCTTCAGTCTATTCATGAGTGTGAAATTTATATCCAATTCACGAAGTATGTGTGCCATTTGTTTGCGCTTTGACGAGGGCCATTAGACAAGTTTCTCAAATGGAGTATTTCTTGAGTCGGTGCAACAGCCCTATACAATTTCTCCTTGAACCATGTTGGAAATTGGGCATGAATGGCACCAGATGTTGATTGTACACCGGTACTATCAAAATAGGCGTTGTTAAATTCCCTAAAAAGAAACACATTATAAGTTTCAAGGTAATCAATTTTATATTTACACTGTAAAGAAAATTAAAAAGTTGGATTATACTTACTTAAGATATGGTTTAACTTCAATGCAGTTGATCAAGACATGAACATGTGCGGATTGCATTTCTTGTTGGGTCAACCAATGCTCACCCTTCTTTCTAGAGGGACGACCTGGAAGCCCGAAGACTGATAAGGTGTACTGACTTCTTTCGATGACATTTATAGGATTCCTTATGATTCTTGGAGTTAACATCAAGTGCTTGAAATAGTGACTGCAAAAATGTGAAGTTTCTCGATGCAAGTAATGTGCACATATTGATCCTTAAACTCTAGCTTTATTTTTCACTGATCGCTTTGAATCACCCATGAACCTTTCAAACAGATACATCCACCTATATTTAACAGGTCCTCCTAGATAAGCCTCATATGCAAGATGCGCAGGTATATGTTCCATGGAGTCAAAAAAACCAGGCGGAAATACTTGTTCCAACTTACAGAGAATAACTGGAATATTTTGGTCTAACTTAATGATGTCATCCACGCTTAAAGCTGACGCATAAATATCTCTAAAAAATTGACTAATTTCAGTGAGTGGATTAAGCAAATGTTTGGGTAGAGAATTGATCGCAATTGGTAGCAATTGTTCCATAAAAACATTACAATCATGACTTTTCATACCATGCAACTTCCCAGTGTTAGCATCGGCACACCTTGCTAAATTTGAAGAATATCGGTCGGGCATTCTCAAACCTTTTAGCCATCCACAAACCACTTTAGCTTCTTGGGGGGTCAGACTGAAACAAGCTTTGGGTTTAAATAATTTTCCATTTGGTTGAAGCTTCAATTCCAACTCTTTACGATTACACTAAATTTCCATGTCTTGTCTAGCCTTCACATTATCTTTTGTTTTGTCTTTAATATCCATCACTGTGTTAAATAGGTTATCAAAAAAATCTTCTCAATATGCATAACATCAAGATTATGGCGCAACAAATTATC